TCATTACCTTGCTATATAAGGGTCTCTTCGAGCTCTTATATGATCGAAGATCTACGAGTTTTTTCCCTACAGTTGAAAACAAGGGGTTATTCTTTATATTGTATGGGCATACCATATATAAATATAATTTGTAGTAGTGATATCTTTTTTTTTTGATTTACAAGTTTCACAAGCTATGTATATTCATACAATATTGATAAACGAGCTCATATGATATAAATGATCAGGTAAGTATGGTATAATTTTTAAAATAGGTGTTTATATCCTCTTACTATATAATTGGGCTTTTATACGCCTTGGAGGATAATCAGATTTACTCTCATAACTATGAAACTCATATTTTTAACGTTAAAATAAATTGGTAATTCGAAATAAATTAAGAATATAAATTGTACCTTATTTTTGCAGGACACACATGATGGATGGTAATTTATTATAAGAAAATACGAGGTTAATTTTAGGGCTTAGACAACGATAATAATAATAAATTTAATATTTTTAAATCAGGTTTTTTTTCTATTTTATTATAATAACAGGCTTTTTTAAAGAATTAGATATAATTATCTATATTTTAAAATGATTGTCTAGATATACGTACGTATTTACAGATTAAAATATGCTTACAAAAATCATGTGCATGCATGATTCTCAAAATTCGTGCGCGTGCCATACTAGTTCTAATAACAATTGACAGGTTTGAATATTTAGTTATAGGTAGCTTTTATGTAATAAAACGAGCAATTAAACTAATAGTTTGGAGTTTATAATAATAGTGGTTAATAACGGGTCGATGAAAAAATCATGGGCAGGGGTCGATCCTAAAAAAGCTTGGGCCGGTCGACTGGGCTGAACTTTTTTGCTAATGTAAATTTTTCTCTATATCAAACGTGTAGAAAGCCAATCAGGTAGTTCCTTGCCAATTCTAGTCTACTAAAACCATTTACTTTTTATTAAAGAAATTCCGTAAAACAAAATATAATATTTACAACAAATGCGTGGTAACTATTTTTGGAATAATGCAACCAAAAAAGAAGTTAACATATATATTAATATAGTTTCTATTCTTTAACATTATGAATATTAAAGATTTCAAATAGTGTTAGAAACTAATCTGATTTTAATGTTCTCATGAGAACTTTTTTATATTTTATGTATTTTTTTTTTTAAAGTAATATAAGAATGCATATATTCTTTAAAAAAAAAAAAAAAAGATATCATAAGATCATGTAATTTCTATCAAGTCTGAATTGTGCCAACATAATCAGATACAGTGTTAACACAAAGTGTTTATTATGTCTTTAATAAATTTTATAAAGATCGTATTATCATAGTACAGTACATAATCATTACATTATTTTTAAAGTATAAGTATACAGATTTTACTGACGTTAACATTAACACTAATCGAAGTTTTAAAATATTTACGTCATTGTCTTGTATGTTGAACAAAAGACTAACAATAGTTTCTAATTGTTTTTGAATGTATTTGCTCGAAATATGTATATCACTTGCAAACAGCTAAATTATAATTAATACTAAACATATTAATAGCTATAATGAATATTATTCCTAGCTAACTTTGCACAAAAGGGAACTGAGAAAAGATAACCATTTTATTCTATGCCGTCGGCGAGGCAGCTGCTGGAGGGGGAGCTATCGTTGTTGTATTTGCAAGGGCTGCTATTGTAGTTGTCAGGGCTGCTGTTGTAGCCAGGATCGTTGTTGTATTTGCTGGAGCAGCAGCAGGTGGAGCAGCAGGTGGGGCAGCGGCTGGAGCAGCAGGTGGGGCAGCGGCTGGAGCAGCAGCTGGGGCAGCAGCTGGAGCGGCGGCTGGAGCAGCGGCTGGTGGAGCAGCGGCTGGAGCGGCGGCTGGAGCAGCAGCTGGAGCAGCTGGAGCAGCAGGGGCTGGGGCAGCTGGAGCAACAGTACCACCCTGATTGTTAACATTTATCGGAGCAGCATCTGAAGTAGACGCTCGCTTTCCTGATTTATCATTACCGGTTATCACAAGATATATACCACTTGGTGGACCTTGGTCTTTAAGTCGATCAGGAACATCACTAGAACCTAACAGAGTGTCTTTATAGAGGTCTTTATCGCAAGTTCGGTACTTAAAACCATCACCTTCTCCACAATTCCAAGTCAAATTGCTAACCTTGACAACCCACGGCTTTGTACCATATGGCCCAATTAAACATATATCTCTTCTACTAAACCGATTTCTTCTTTTATAACTACTAGGTTTATTACTTTTTTTACCATCTGAACTACTATAAGTAGTCGTTGTACACGGAGTGCTAGTACTATGACTAC